TTAGATATAATTCATAATATAATCAGTCAAATTAGTAGTAGGTACAGTTGAAATTCATCAGCTAACACACTTTGTTTTTATAAATATTATGTATTTTAACCCAAAACGTGTTTTTAGCCTCATTTTGATCGGGGTGAGTTTTTTTATTTATATGAGACCACAGTTAAGAAATACCTATTCATTGATTTCTCATGTTTTTTAATATTAATTATAATATTATTGGCCGCCTCTGGAATAAATCCGAATACACTCAAGTAGTAATTAGTTTCTGTAATATACGGTCTTGATGTGGCTATAGAGGTATGTCACATATAACTTGGTTTGGGAGGATATAGTATCGCACCAAGATGGTCTTTACCTAGCTTTTTATCAGTAGAAAACAAACAGGTGGACAAACAAAAAGACAGCCATACAAGAAAAGATAATGATAACGGTATGTAGTAGGTACTTATTTCTTTTTCTCGTATTTTGTTGCTTAAATAATCATGGTTAGCGAGATATCAACACCTTTTGGAACATATATTGTAACAAACATTCATATTATATGGAGTTTACGAAAAAATCTGAAAATTCAGTAAATTACACAAAAAGTCGGCTGTAAGTTTTCTCTGTATAATATGCATTCTATCATAACGATGTACCGCATCACTATTGTGTGATGACCCAACTCATTCGTTGAAGCTAAATCCTCAAAGTTGGCCGGGTTCCAGATAGTTCATTTACCGCTTCTGATCTTTCAGATGCACTCTACACGTAACACAAGTCTTATTCGGATCTGTCATTTTCCTAATGGCTTTTTATGTGCCACAATTATGGCGGCCCAGATTTTAAAAATGCATAAAATGAGGCCTTCAAAAGTTGGCACTATTCTGTAATCGTACAAATGCTGAGGTTAAATTTACTATTCATATCTCAGAATAGGCCTTTCATAATTTACAATAGAAAAATATTCTCTTTTGGGTCTCTTTTGGATATTGGTATTATATTTATTTTAGAATTTTTTTAATAATAAAAATACTATATGTTTGTAATTTCGAAGTGTTTATTCGATTTCAACATAACTAGCTTTGGTCCGCCGTTTGGTTCGCTATGATAATAAAATATTTATTAATTTTTAATTTTTAATTTATATATATATATATATATATATATTGATTTCTTAAATATAGATAGTTTATCTACTTAGAATACCAGTACCTAAACGACTGAGCTTCGTTCGGCATAGGCACTGGTTCCGTAGGTAATGTAAATAGACAAAAATTTACGATGCTATATGATGAGCAAGAGAGTAGATAGAAAATCTCTCTCAACCAGGTAAAAAAGGTTATAAAAATTGTTTTTTTTTTATGGTATAAAATGCATTTTTTTTACCAAAAATTGCATTTTATCAGGAAAACACCTTTATAGATAAACTAAAAAATCATAAAACCTTATCTAAATACAAAATTTGAGCCAAATGGTTAAAGACGTTTCCGAGATACACGAAATAAATTTATAAGTATATACAAGAATTGCTCATTTAATATTATAAGATTAGATTTACTCGTATGTATTTAAAATTATTTAAAGCAACTATTATAAAAACAAACCCATGAAATTTTTGAGATATTATATTACTTTCAACGGTAACATCTGAAGTATACATAGATGGTGTAAAAGTTGTGATATTGTATTGAAAGTACCTGACTTGGAAAATTGGTTTCTTAGAAAAGAAAAATATGAGTAAGAGTGAAAGAGTCTCTGTTGTATTTGAAGTTTATTTAGAAAAAGGTAAATTGGATTTCATTGAAAGGATATGTAAAAAGTATAGTGATGATGATATAAGTTATAATGATGCCCTACATTCAAATTTGCTAAACCATGTTCGATTAATACTTTCTTAGATTTACGCGAATATTTGACATTTTAAATAAAACTATCTTTTCGGATTTTGTCGCGGATTTATTTGTATTTTTGTTTCCCGACGTTTCGAATGCTGACTGAGACTCAGTCTCTCCCGTGACCATGGATGCTGTAAAGCATTCGAAACGTCGGGGAAAAAAATACAAATAAATCCGCGGCAAAATCCATGTTCGATTATTAAAAAAAAACTATATTTTTTGTGTGTATCACATATATCTTTAGATCACCTGAGTTGATTTTAACAGAACTTTTGATTGCATCTAAAAGACTCGCTTGAAGGTAATAGTATTTTTTTTCTAATGCAGGTAAAGATTATCAGCAGGTTGAGCAATAGAAATATATATAAGGAACAATAGTGATGAGGAAATAACAACAGACATCTTAGAGAGCGTGTCCTACTCGAAACTAGTCGATTTTTTCATACCATACAAATCTTGTTCCGATGAATCAGTTCCGTATAAAAATCTCATTGCAAAATCTTCTAAACTCTTATAACTGAAACGTTTATTTGATTTTAATTTTATATTTTCCAACCAGTATATATTATATAATACTAGCAGAACCCGCGGCTACGACCGCGTTCGATCTACAAGAAAAAAACTTTTTGGCTTTATGTACGTTATACGGCGTCTCACTCTCGTTTCACGGTTATTTGTCGCTATTGATATGATTTTAGTATTTTTGTATGAACAATATTATTTAAATAATATTATTCATACAAAAATCGCGAAAAAAAATTTGGGGGTAGGAGGATGAAAAATACTTTACGACCTATTCTTATACCTACCAAAAATAACAAAAAATCATTAAAATCGGTCGAGCCGTTTCGACCACAAATATCTTGACATGAGATATTTATATGTACATATGTATGTACCTATATTAGATAGACCAATGAATAATATGATTTACTCCAAAATCGTTTTCATTGTAACTCAATGACCGAATACATTATAAATAATGGGAATGCAACAAAATTAACAGATAGATTGCATTTTCCCAATGGACAAATTCAATAACATGTGCACAGTGTTACAAGGTATGAGTGCTATGACCGACATCTAAAATTGGTCTCGACATTTACCGGCTATCTTAGCTTGAGCGGATTCCGATTTCACAGATGCCTTAGTTATTTTGCTCCATGTGTTGTACATGCATCGCTGACTTCCTGCAATCAATCAAAGTCACCTGTGTCCTACTTCTATATATAAAGGATAAGGATAACTGTTAACGGTTTTCTCGTTTTTATTATTACGATTTAAAAAGTGTATAAGTAATATAACATTTTCAAATAGCAACCATACATTGTTTAGTTTTTATGATATTTATTTGTAAAATTCATTAAACACTACCATTTAGTTTATTTTTGCCATAGAACTAAACTCCTGTATAGAGAAAGCCTGGAGTTGATTTTCGTATTTCCGAGCTATATATCGACATACAAACATCTATAACTCGTGAAAAAGTTATGTCCAGGGACCCCCCCCTCTCCCCTCTTCCCTTATATTTGTAAGTTATAAAGAAGCTCATTTATTTAGTCCTTATTTGAACCAAATATTTGCAATTAAAAGACCCGTTAAATTTAATTAAGCTGTTGTGGATATTAGCGGAACAGTGCGAAGTGTATTTTTAATTTAGGACCTATTTTGATGGGGTTTAAGATATTGTATACCCTAAAAAGGAAAGCTACTTTAAATTTATTGTCATAAAATTTCTTGTAAATTTTTTATGTCAACTAATTCTATGTAAAATAATAAATATCTTGTAAACTAAATTAATATAATAGGTGGGTCGAGCCAAGGAAGGTCCTCATTTACATTTAAAAATGTAGTTTACTAACATATAATAATAGTCCGGTTATTGTGTATTATGTCTAAAGATATTATACCTTAGAAATGAACATTTGCTCAGAATTTGTATTAGATTGCCACTCAACTGTCTCAAAGCCACATTTTCATTAGCGTAACATGCAGGATAATAAGTGAATCTGACCACAAACGTATTTTGCATGCAAATCCAAACTGCATATATGGTCCCAACGTAATTATTGAACTTCGAGGTCCAGTTTCATGTGTTAGTATGTAACAATTAATGAATACTGTAAGCTTCAATTTCCACTTTAGAAATATTTGTCTATCTTTACTTGCATTTTTCTGTGATTCTTTTCAAATATTTCGATGACAAATTGTTATTCAAATTTCTTATTCAAATTTCTTAACTCTTAGTCAAAGTTTAATCCAAATCGATGCAGCTGTTCTCTGGAACAAAACGATTAGTTAGCTTTTCTATATATTTTTTTAGGAGATTATATACTGTATAAGTAAAAAGACAAAAATATTTATAATAAGTGATCAGCGTTTGGTATCGTGCAAATAACCATAATTTAATTATCATGTAACCCTATTAAGTTTACTTTAGATTAGCTATTTTGAAATCACTGCTAAACTAATGTGCAAACTCATACAAGTATATGTGCATAGTACATACCTACTATCTCTTCATTTTATGTTGGTCTCATACCTCGAAAACTACTAGACCGTTTAAAATGTTGTGTTTCTATTTATAGAAATTGTTCGACTTAGTAAAAGAAAAAGTTTGATCAACATTGATTCAGCCAGATTATAAGATATAAATGAAGCGCTGATTTTAAATGAACCCTAATTGATCGTTATTGCTTTATATTTAACTAGTGACTCACCCTCGCTTCGCTTGGGTTCGTCCCTAGCTTGTTTCCCCATACAAACTTTCATCCCAAATTTCACCCCCTTAAAGGATGATTTCCGGGATAAAAAGTATCCTATGTTTTACCCAGAGTCTCAAACTATACTCTTACCACATTTCATCTAAATCGGTTTATTAGTTTCGGAGCTTATTTGGTACAAACAAACAAACAAACAATAAAGACTTTCCTCTTTATAGCATTAGTATAGAAATCGGACTAAAAGGAATAGGTTGCTTCACTGAAGCCTATACTGAGGGCCTGTCAGACCACAAAGCCAACAATTGTGGGTCTTATCGGGCTGTCGTGTACCAGTGTTTATATAACAATGGGTATTCAATAGTGCATTATCAAGTAATGTCGGTATCTATCTATGCAGAGCCTCCGCGGACATCACCTCAACAGGACGGGGGGCTGGGTACACCCCGTTCCTCTGTCACACCACCTGACCCATCTCCAACATTTCCAACGGTATTTAATATTTGTATTGTTAATATTATTAGTTTTGACATTTTAATATATTTTTTTTTAATTAAATATAATACTAAGAAAACCTCCCAAACAGGAAGTTCATAAAAACTGATCTTTCTCTGACAATTTTAAGAGTATTTATGCATGTATGTATTATTCTCTTTTTTCTATTTAATTATTACAATTTGTGTATATTAAATAGAAAAACTCAAAAATTGCAATCAAACGGTGTTAAATATTTTTTGCCTCTAGCATTTTTAATCCTTGTATTTTTTTCGTTTCAAATGTAATGAAAAAATATAGGTATATTAATTGTAAAGAAAACTCTAAGCTGCTGGCAGCATTTAGAACTTTCGTAAAAAATATTTGCCGGAACAATTTGTTCTTCTAAACTTTTGTTCGTGCAGAAAAATGTAGCGTATTGTTCGTGCGAAAAATTTTGTATAACTTCAAAAATCTGAAGATAAAATAAATAAAAAATGAATTCACCGCATCACGTGACTGAGTAATAAAAAAATAATACAAAAAATGTTCTACGCGGAATTTTCACGCTTTAACGATTTCTTTTGATTTCCACAGCTACGTGAAAGGGTGAATATTTTAGTTTGACTATTTAATCTCCCATTTTTTCGCCATTTTTTTCTCTACCTTGTACTTTATAAAGTAACAAAATATTTACTTTGAAATGTTAATATGATATTTCGCAGAACAGCATTTCTATCTTATTTTATGTTTAATTCAGTAAAAATTTGCATATCCTCCTATGTATATAATATGTATTAATTTTCATTTCCTTTTTGATACAATTAAGTAAATATTTATATTATCTTTGACAGATACGAGGGGTGGAAATCGGAATTGTAGTTCTAGTTTTAATTGTCTGGATTGGAGCGATTGCACTGTTCTTCAATCGATGGGGGAAAATTCGAATGCTGCTTCCATACCAGCCAGATTACAAGCAGGAACAACTAAAGGTACAACATAAACTGATTCTCATAAATTAAATATATAGAAGTTAATTAAACGTTCTAAGTTGTCTCATAATTTTTGGCCAGTGATCAATTTCTGTTTCATATCATGTTTCATTAAATTTTTCATTGTAATTTAAAAGAATAATTAACTAACTTACGTTAAGAGATTCATCACTGATTCGCAAGTAATAAATGTGTATTTTTTAACGGTTTTAGATGTAAATGATGTGATATTTTATATTTATGCTAATTAATGTTGTTAATAGTAGATAATTTTTATGCATTCCATTATCAATAAAATTTTGGCAGGTCGAAGCGCATCCTTCCAATTCTACGCCGTAGGATTCATAGATGGTGTGTTATGAATTTATCTAACTGTAATCGCTAGTTTCCTAGTAACAACGTAACATCTTCAGCAAATCCCTACTGAATAGAAATATTGAAAATATTAGTATGGGCTCGATTTCATTGTTCGTATTTATGTAAAATTAACTGGTAATTTAATATAAAGTTTTGTAGATTAGCTTTAATAACCTTAATACTTCTTAGATTTACGCGAATATTTGAAATTTTGAATAAAACTATCTTTTCAGATTTTTTCGCGGATTTATTTTCATTTTTGGTTCCCGACGTTTCGAATGCTTTACAGCAATCATGGTCACGAGACATGGAGACGGGTACTTTCCCGTGAACATGATTGCTAAATATGCGATAAATCTGAAAATATAGTTTTATCTAATAGCCTTATTAATTTCTGTATGCTATATTACTTTTAATGATAATATATTTTTAGAATAAGATGGTAATCATGCATTTTGAAATCGTATTCTACTGTTCATATGAGTGATTATAATACGTTTTTTAATATCTCAACTTCCTCCTGAATCCTTATTAATTATAAAATAATTATTCTAAGTTTAAATGTACCTTTATATGATTATAGTTTCTAACAATAGTCCAATTATTAATGTTATTCAATTTTGATTATAAGATACACATAATATATTGTATATTAAATATGAATGTACTCGTATATCTTAAAAATTGTAAATATATGTTTTGTTGTTTGTACAGATATAATAAATATTAACAATTAATAAATAGAATTAAAATAAATATATGAACAAAGTTATAATATTTGTGATACTTCACAGGTACCAGGAAGCAGTGCATTGGCTGCTGCGACTGCAGGAGGAACGTGTGGGGCGCATTCCGCACCTTCAGCATGTTCGGTAAATATATACAATACATATATTAGATGTATTATACAATATTTGATTATATTTTAACTAATTTCATTAACGCTTTTATTTTGATTACTTAATTATATTATTCTTGAATCAAATTCATTGGATATACTTTTTCATATTAAAACATAAAATTTATTTTATTATGTTCTAATTTAATTATATTATATACATTGTATTATTAATTTAATGTATAAGAATATATTTTTTTAAATTATAGTTATACTATCGTGTCGTTTTAAATTTTCTTATTTGGGTGTTTTTTATTTTGCAAATGGCATTAGGATATTGGGAATCGTTCGGATGTAAGGTTTAAATATTTAAGTATTGGCACTTTAGATAGATAATGTAGTCGTAGATTGGTCATCTTAACATACTTATCGACTACTTTCATTTTAATCTGGAATTGAAATATGCTTCTAATATCATTTCATTTGTAAAATTCATATTGAAGTGAGTTACTTATCATCTGCAATAGATAACGGATTTAACATATTATCTATAGTTAATATATCAATAGATTAATGAATAAATAATAAATAGCACTTCATATTAAGTCCCTCTAGTTCTCTGTCGATAGTATATAAAGATTCGTTCACACATAGTGACGATATATGAAAAAAAATAAACATTATTTTGTTCCGATCGGGACTCGAAGTCGCGACCATCGCCGTAGACGCAGTAGTCTTTCTTTTGAATTAATATTAATTTTATTTATAGCATAGTATATAAAAACATTGCATGAAGTCATTTTTTTATATTTAAGGCTTTCTAATTTGTATTAAAAATGAACTAATAATGTGGTAAAAAATAACTATTGGTTTTAGAAAATTTTAATTTTTATGGATGATACTGCAATTATAAATAGCAAAAAATCACATATATAAATGTAAATGTTCGCATTATGCCGTTAGAACTTGACACCTCAAGGTTAAGCAAAGGTTTAAGATTGCACAAAGACACGGCTAGCGTGATTCCCATTCGACCGCATTGCACCATTTCCACTACGTTAAAGGTCGAGAAAATCCTGCATTTTATAACATTTAGCTAATTTGTATTAACATTTTTTGAATTAATTATTTTTAGTTGATAGTACAATTTTGATAAAAAAAATTTTTAAGTTAAACAACGTATGTTTGACTGGTGTGGTATTACATTTCTGTTCTTGGTTTTATATTATTTATTAGCATTCATTTTTATATTTCATAAGCATCTCCTTTAAAATTAAAAAGTCCTTACTACACTACACACGTCTTAACTATTAATTTAATAAAAAATGATAATCCACAAAATTGTCAAAAATTGCAGTAATACCCAAAAAAACCTCTTGAAATAACCTCTTCTTTTTGAAATTGTTCAAAATTATTTGGAAAATAATACAATAAATAAAATATGTTAGTATTATTTACTTTTATTCATTTAATACTCGGTATTGTTTGTTTGTGATTACAGGCTTTCCTACAAGCAATGCGTAAAATTTAAATTGGTCCAATAAATTATGATATCAGTATGGACAATTTGCTTTACTTAAGCGTTTTGAGAATAAAATTATAATCACTGGCCAAATATTTATTTCAGAAAAATGAAAACATATATAAATTACAATACTGATGGCGTGCCTTATATTATTATGTAAATATATGTATTTGCTTATAGATGTAACTTTTATAAGCTACCTAGCGAGTAGCGACTCACCCTCGCTCCTCTCGGTTTCGTCTCTAGTCGTAACTAGGGTTTTCAACGGTTAGTATAGATTTCTCAGAGATGAGATATTTTCCCGCAGTAAAAACTATCCTGTATGTTGATCCGGATAACTATCATACTAAATTTTATCAAAATCTGTCCAGTGGTTTTCTCGTGATGCGGTCACGGACATGCAGACAGACAGAGAGACAATAATTCTAAAAACTATAGATTCGGGGTGTGTATCGGTAATAATGACTATTTCAATAAGATTTTCCAAAAACTATTTAATGTACAGATTTGGCTTAGTTACAATTTTACTATATGTATGGATTACCTAATATCTTAATAATAATTATCTTATATCTTAATAATAATTACCTTATTCTATATAGATAAATGAATGTGCGTATGTTTGTCCTCTATGCACTCCTAAACCATTGATCCGAGTGTGATGAAATTTTAAGGGGTTTATCTGTGTACGTTTGCAAAGGTTCCTTGCCCAAAAAACAATACTTCTTAGAACGTTTATAATATTAGTATGGAAATACTATGTAAATGATAAAGATAATTATATTTTATTGGGCTATTTTGAAACCCGTGTAGGTAATCCTAATTAATTTTCAATCATAACAAATCTGTCCCACGGGAACTGTACATTTTTCTGGGATAAAAAATACCCTTTGTCCTATTCCAGACTATATCTCAGTGCCAAATTTCATCCAGATCTGTATAACCGTTCTGGCGTGGTTGAGTAACAAACATCCAAACTTTTACATTTATAATATTAGTAAGATAACCTCACTCAAGTAGAACATTAGGATTTACTCTTTCGGATCTATCTTGTAATAAGATATAGGTAATATGTATATTTTAAATTAATATTAATTGTAAAATAAGTGAACTGAATATTACACGATAAAAGCTTTAGAAATCACGGCTTATATTATAAATTCCAAAATTGAAGAGTCAGACTTTGATTTGATTCTCTTTACAATGTTACATAATTTGAGTGAGTTTTAGAAAGGAGATAGCTTATATACACATTCAAAGAAGGCATCTCATATACCAACATATGTATATGTACTACATACATAGTTTAACACATAGGTATCGTACCTCATGTTAATGTGATCGAAGTTGAAGTTGAAGGCAAAAACCATTATTAATATATAAATATACTAAGACAAAACGGTTCAGTATCTTTTTCTCCACTGTTTTTTGTTTTATATCTAGCTATTGACGTTAGCTGAGTTTGAGTTAGGCTTAGTGCTATCATGGTCCCCCCCAACGTGCGTTCATCTTGTCGTGGTGGGGGGAGGGCTCAGTAGTGCCCAGCAATCCAGCCGGGCGCGAAGCCAAGAAACGCACAGGGAGGTGGCCCGCTTCGGTGGGCGGTGGGAGGTGGCCCTCTTCGGAGGGCGGTGTACCATGCGGGTTGCTTCTGGTACTTCTCTGATAGCAGAGTGGACCTTGGAGCAACCCCGTGATTGTTGTGGTCTGCTTCGGCAGACCTGCCGTCGGGGCATCGTAGTTGAATGCGTAAGCGATCCTGCGACGCCCCATTAAGACGGGGGAAGGTTTTATTGGGCTTTAGTGGGTAGTACTGGCTTCGCCGGTGAGTCCCACACCTCGCAAGCAAGTTTTCGAAAGACATGTTGAGTCCGCCAACCCGCACTTGGCGTGGTGGGCTATGGCCTAATTCCTCTCCCATCGAACGGAGGCCTATGCCCAACAGTGGGATGTTATATGTCGAATTTCGATAACTTGGCAAAAACTAGTATCAATAAACTCGTAATTCCACCACTATACAAGTATATGTAATAAATCATTCACGTATTCCAATATTGTTAAAGTTAGTGATGATGGAGCGGAAAGTCAAAGTTCATTAATTACAATTTACAAGTAAGTTCGACTATAAGTGTTGAGTTTCTTACTATCTCATTGTTGTGAACTAGTTAAGTGATAATTGTGTTGGTTGTCATCTGATATTATATGCTTTGTTCTCTTTATTTTGGCTAACAGTGTACGTTTTAATATTATAAAGTGAAAATGTGTTTGTTTGTTTGTTTGTTATTCTCTTACGTCAAAACTCGGTTTATTAACTAGTAAGCTCTGTTTATTCGTATATTACGTTTTAACGTCAAAAAGCTAAAAAACATATTTTTAATGGAAATCCCTATACTTATATACTCCGATTAAAATAAAAACCTTTGAAATCTTTATCTTCTTCTAGCAGAAAGAGAAGATCGTTTTGATTAGTCTCAAAATTTTCTAATATCTATCTTTATTAAATAATAAGTTTATATATATATATATATATATATATATATATATATATATATATATATATATAATCGTCAGTTATACACACGGCATCATTCTTAGAATATTCATTGGCAGTGATCAAAGGGCTCAAATGTAATCGTCTCGCCGGCCTAGTTTTATTAGGTATGAGAATCGTGAAAACGATCGTAAGTACCATACCTTTCTTTTTCAGTAACACATATTCATTTTTCTTTTATATTAAAATAGTGGTTTTAATTCATTAATGAGAAATCTTAAAGGACTTTTTAACGTCCCACTGCTGGGCACGGTCTCCCTTCAATACTAGAGGAATCAGGCTATAGTCCACCACGCTGGCCAAGTGTGGGTTGATGGATTTCACATGTCTTTCGAAAACTTGCTTGGTTTTCTCAGACATGCAGGTTTCCTCACGATGTTTTCCTTCACCGTTAAGACAAGTGGTAATCATGTTGGAAATTGATTCGCCCATGAAAATATCAGAGAGTGGTAGTCCAGTCGTAACGGGCTCGCTTGGGAAAGCGAGTGAAGCGGATTCAAATCCCGGGTTTCACATCTCTGATATATTCAAAAATACATAACTAAGTATAATATTTCAAATTTAAAGATTTTATTTTTACAAGTATATTATTACAATATTCTTACAAGTAGTATATAGCATATTTATTTTAAATTACTATGCAAAGTATGAAATTTTTTTGAGAATGTTTTATCCAAGGTAGTACCTACTGTTTATTTGAAGTAAAGTCTCTTTCTGTGCAAAACACAATTTTTAACATTTTTTCGGCCTGTGTGTTTGTCTGTTTGTTCCGGTTACTTTCCAAAACGGCTGGACTGATTTTGGCAGGACTTTCATTGGCGGATAGCTGATGTTATAAGCAGTAGTTTAAGTTAATTTAATTTTAGAAAAAGAATCAAGGCTCCGCAAAAAAATAATTAAAACGTATGTAGGGACGAACTCGAGCGAAGCGAGTAGGGAAGAGAGTTACATAATATAT